AGAGAAAAAAAAGAAATTACAATTTTTGGAGCAACAGAAGGATAGGTTGAGTCCTATGTTGAATCACGCAGTGCCCTATAATTCTTAATTTGAAGACACAGCAGTAAACCTCTCCTTCTCAAGCTCATCATTTGATTGCTTTAAACAAACAACCCCCATACTCTGCTTCAAGTTCTTCTGACTTCTCCATGTCCTGGAAATGGTTAAAGGCACAAGCAGGAAGCCATTCACTTTTGATCACCTGCTATCATGTCAAGCAGTAAGTTCACCTAAGATTCCTGATGAAAGATGCAAGAGAAGCTGGAATCATGAATGCATTAACAGTCTTTTGATATGAATCCAAGGTAGACACCTTCACTTACCTCTCCTCCAAGTGTCCTATATGCAGCAAATGAACTCACTTTTTCTATGTTTATTTACTTCAGGTTCTCATTTTCCTTCCTGGCAAACACACCTATTAAGTTCATGTGTGCTAGCTAATTGGCTATAATCTTTCCTTTGTCATTTTTTCAGGCTTAATGAGCACGTGGATCACACACCAGGGTCAACGATGTTTGAAACCACCAAACCAGCCACTACTGGTGCTAACAGGAGCACTTCTGAAGGGAATGACCATTTCAAGTGTTCGTATATAGACAGGAGCTTTCTCTTTGGCTGTGAGAAAGATTGTTCACTGGTCCTCCATCCACGTGCTGAACGATCTTTCCATTTCTTTGATTTCTTTCAGCCTCATTGTTATTGACTTTGTAGTACTTGAGCTTATTCCAGCCATAGATGTTTCTTTTTTGTGCATTTCCTGTCATGATCTGCAATGTGGATTATTCCCTTATTCCTGCTGCTCAGGGAATACTACATATTCTCTTGATTCTTTCAAAATATTTGATTATCTCAAGCTTCTCTTCAATATTGAAGCTTTCATTTTGCATGCACTATTTTTCTTTTTTGAATCAAGATGCTTAAACATTCTTGGGATGTTGAATGAGTGTGTTTTTATGTAGAAAAATTCCTAAGTGCAAAAGAATAGCAAAACATAATCTTGCAGGATACCACATGGTGAACCAAGGTAGCTGGTAGACGTTGAGGTCTCTGTGTGTTGGCATTTTGTGTATTCCTACAGGGCTCAGTTAGCTGGTTGCAGTTTACTGTGTTCACCTGGTGTTTCTGGCTGAGTAAATCATGTATAAGCAAGTGCAAAATTTGTGTTATGCTCAAATTGTTCCCTAATATTTCAATTGCATTGGAATGATGCTGGTTTTCAAAACAAGCATTATAGTATAATTGACTGCATCATCAACTTTCAAATGGCCGGGAAAATATTACTAATTAACATACGCAGTAATTCAATAAATTCCTGCCCTCATGGGGCTTGCATTTTAGTGAAATTCAAATGTTGACATAATTAAAACCCAGCTTCAAATTATGAGATCTAAAATCATCTAATAGTACATCTTATATGCAAAAAACTTACGCTACTTAAAACTCATTTAAAGTCAGTTGTTGCATATTGAATTTTAAAATAAATGCTACATTTTAAAAGACAGTCTAAAGTCTTGAAAATCAAAATGCAAACAAACTTGCTTTTTAGAACTTCCATCAAAGACCAAAAGCAAACAGACAAATAAACCCCCAAACATTATATGTGTCATTGGAGTACCACATTACACAGTAATGTGTCTGTATCCTTCTAGTTGTATAAATGCAAAGAAAGACATATGGAATGATCTTCACTTAATCTTAAGGGTGGTTATTCTTGTATGGTGGGACACTACTTTTTTCTTTGCACATATCTGTATTGTTTGCTTACTTTAGTTTTTATTTATTTATTTTTTTGGTTGCGTTGGGCCTTCATTGCTGCGCGAGGGCTTTCTCTAGTTGTGGCGAGCAGCGTGGCCTATTCTTCCTTGCAGTGCATGGGCTTCTCATTGCGGTGGCTTCTCGTTGCAGAGCACGGGCTCTGGGTGTGCAGGCTTCAGTAGTTGTGGCACGCAGGCTCTAGGGCACAGGGCTTCAGTAGTTGAAGCACGTGGGCTCAGTAGTTGTGGCTTGTGGGCTCTAGAGTGCAGGCTTAGTAGTTGTGGTGCATGGGCTTAGTTGCTCCGCAGCATGTGGGATCTTCCTGGACCAGAGATCGAACCCATGTCCCCTGCACTGGCAGGTGGATTCTTAACCACTGCACCACCAGAGAAGTACCTGCTTCCTTTATAATAATCTTACAAAACCAAAAGGTGGTTTTATATTAATTTGAGAATTTTTAAATACAAAAATTTCAGAGAATAAAAATCCATGAATCCAACAACCAGAATTAACAAATATCATGTAATAGTTTTGGATCCTTTTAAAATAAAAAAAATTTTCACAAAAAATTGAAGATCACCACAGATTGCTCTCCAGTATCATTCCCCACCCATCCATTCACTCTATATAATTGTATTTTTCTTTCCTGTCCATATAGAATAATTTTTAAAATTCCAATTAAAAATGAAATGCTAGATTAGAAATATATCTTATAAGGTGGGTTTTTTTTCAGATTCACTGTTAAATTTTTGTTCTGATGAATAATTTTAAACATATTCCAAAACAGAGAAAATAATATATAATGAATTCCTATATACCCATTACCAAGATTCAACAATTGTCAAGATTTTGCCACATGGAGTTTCTGAAATCAAAAGCAAAAAATTGTGACCTACTGTTCAACCTACAGTTTGTTCAGTCAATAAACAAACACCTACTAAGGAAGACAGGGAGAACTAAGATGAGCTGTGCTCTTATTATGTGCCAGACACTGGCTCTTGCCTATGCTGACCCACTTAGGAGTCACAACAACTCTGCAACCCAAATAGTATTATCAGCATTGTTCAGAATGGAAAATGAGGCTCAGAGAGATGAAAGTTCTATAGGCTCAGCTGCTATAGACCATTTTCTAGACCATAAATCCCTCCTCCTCTGCCAATTTCAGAGTGCGTGTGCGACAGTCACTAGAGGTTATTCTGCTGAAAAGCACAAAATGAGAAGATCTCACTTTGGGTCTGTATGAATTGATCCCTGAATTCTCTGGGCTGGAGGAGGATCCAGCATTGTTACAGGAACTTTAAGTCAGCAACTTTTGGTTATTTATTTAATTTATAAAATAACCAGTTGTAAATTTCACTTTAAGACATTTTTGTCTAACTACTTAGATAAAAGAGAGAAGTATTTTCCCCTTTTCTTTAAAAAAAAATCACATTAATGACTCAATATACTCTTGTAAATTCTTACTTATTCTCTATAGCTCATAATCCCAGCTGACCAACACCCATAATTACAAAAAGAGATTTCAATCGCAATTTGCAGGCTTGCAAATCTATCCTGGATATTTTCCAAAACTGTTTCAAAACTTCTTGCCTGTCATGTCACTATGTGTTGTTATGCTCACATACTACAGCAAATGCTTCATAACCATTCTTGATCTTTCCTGGGGACTGTTTCAAAATAAGCAGACGTGAATGCTCCAGTGTGTCAACCCTATTAGTCAGTCTTGTGATAAGAAGCATGGGATTTGGGCTTCCCATGACACATTTTTATTTAATAACATAGAATATCACCATTTAGAAACCCAGGATGCACAATGATTCAGCTATTTTGAGAGACTGATGAGATTAAAGAAACTCAATTATCAAATGTCTCCCAGTTTATATGTATAAAATTTTAGAACAGATAACATCTTACTCTAGATTTCACTTAATATTTGTATCCCAAACTCTTCAAAAGACAAACCCAGTCTCCCAGAGAAGGAAAGAGGCTTAAAGATCATCTGGGATCAGCCAGACCTCTTCATTTTGCAAATGTGGAAGGAGATCCAATTTTTGTATTGTTTATATTTTGTTTCAGGTAGTTCTTGTTTGGTTTTCTCTTGCCATAAAGAACAATGCCAAGTTCCTGTACTGTCACACCAGGGATATGTTCATGCAACAGTCCTTGGTATTAAAAATGACAGAAAAGAAAATAGCCACCAAACTTTAGTATGAACAGAGACCAATAATTTTTTTAAGGCTGCCATAAAACTCAATTGCAGGGTGCAAGCTTGCAAATTGAAAATAACCACAAAAGTTGGAGTGAAACGTCAGGAAGGAAGGCTGTCACATTCTAGAAGTTTAGAAAATCAAATTCGGTTATGTAGAAAAGTGGGTTTCTAATTCTACCTTTCCATTTATTTACATATAGAACTTTTTGCAAAATATCTCCTGACTAAAACAATTTTTTTTTGGCCATAGTCCTATTACTGTATTTGATTCTGTGCCTTTAATCTTTTCTTAAAATACAGACCCTCAAAATGTATCATACCTCTGTAACCGACCTTGGTGAGGAGGTAATTTAGTGGTTTTCAAACGTCTTTTTCTTTCCTTCCTTCCCTTTTTTTTTTCAGGGGCATTCCCCAAATAGAGTAAACAGGTCAGCGTGACCTTGGATGAGGTCGCTTTCTCGGTCCCCAACTCAGCGTGAAACCCTGCCCCTAGTCAGACCCTTTGCAGAAGGAAACTTCCCGCCGCTGCCCGACTTCCCCAAGGCCAACCTAAAGATATCAGGGCCCCCAGAAGCAGCTTTTCTCCCTCGAAAATCCGGCCTTTTGGGGGGACTCCAAGGTGCCCGGGGCAAGAGTGGGACCAACAGCAGAGGTGGGAGGAAGATTCACCTCTATGCGCGGACGAGCCGAGCGCCCAGGGCCCGCGCGCCGACCCGCAGCAGCGATCCCCCCACGCCCGCCAAGCTCGAGCGGCGGCGCGCGGACCCGGGGCTAGCCGCTGGCTCGAGCGGGGCTGGAGCCCGGCGGCGGAGCGGCGCGCGCAGTAGCACCGGCGGCGAAGCACCGGCGCTGCCGGGGGTCTGCGGCGAGCGGCCCCCACGCGGGGGCGGGGCCAGCACAGAGGCCTCGCCCGGCGAGCGGCCCCGGCGTTGACAGGTGTGAGGGTGCGGACGGGGGCGGGAGAGTGGCGGCCGAGGCGCCCCGGCTCCCTCCTTACCTGGCCTTCCCAGGCCCCGCGCTGAGCTCCGGCCTCGCGCCCGGAGAAGTTTCCCAGCCGAGCGCGCCGGGCCCTGGCAGCCGGCGCGAAGCCCCCGGCGCCCGGCTCGCGCTCTCCTGGCCGACCCCGGGCAGGCGCCCGCATCCGCGCCCGGGCGCTCGGTGACCGCAGCCCGGCTCCGGAGCGGCGCGGCGGTGCAGGCGGGGGCTGGTCACGGGCGCGCGCCCCGGGGGCAGCGGGGGTGGCGGCGGCCGCGGGCGCGCGGGGCCCGGGCAGCCCCAGCCTCCTGCGAGTCGCCGGACTGCTGATCAACTTAGCGATCGCGGCGGACCAAAGTTTGAGAAGATGGGTTTCCCGAAGTGAACACCAATCACAGTTATAAAATGAACCTTGTATTATTCGCTGTTATCCTAGGCAGTGAGACATGGGGTTGACTCCTGGGATGGAAAGCAACTGTACGTCTGCCCTCTCAGTACCTCACACCCAACCCCACCGCCCCGCACTGTAAACAAAAAGTGGTGAAATTACCTGAGAGGGGATGGGAATATTTGGGTGTATAGGACAGAGAATGTTTAATATCTTGATTCAAATCAATGAACGTCTGAATAAAGAAAATGTATAAAGAGCATGGACGATCATAGAAGGAAAAAAAATTAAACACAGATGATAAAAAATTTCAAATCAGTGATGAGCCAGTGCATGCAACTTAAGGCAAAAATCAAATGCATATTTTCCTCCTATGAAGTTAGTGAAGTTTTCTTTGGTCAAACCCTATGGTGGTTGGTGAGGGAACAGTGAAATACAACTTACTCGAGGGTTTCCATCTCCTCCCCTCTCTCAGCACCCTCATTCGTGTTATATAACTGTGTTGGTGACAGTGATTCCGGGAACAAAATATTTACTGAGTAATCAGTGTCTCTTTTGGTCTCCAGAATAACAGTTAAAGTAATATAAATGGTAAAATTAACTTCCTTTAATTGTTACTGGGACTGAGGGACAAAAATTAACCATGTTCCTACAGCCCGTACGCGGCTAGAAGCCGCTTGTCTTCCAGGCTTTTGCTCTTACTCTTCATTCTAGGGATTGACTCAGAGATGTTGGAAATCCAGTTTAAACTGGATATGGCTGGGGAAGTGAGAAGGTCATGAGCTTTGACATCAGATGTATTCTGGGTTTAGATTTTACTTCTTATTTAGTGTTGTACATTACAATGTTTTTAAGGATTATATTCATGGTCATTTTAAATTTAAAACCTCAGAAGCAGCAAAGATATGCTTGTGTGATAGATTGTAAGGTGGCTTCATGATTCCCACTGCCTCCTGGGTTTCATGCCTTTGTTGGATCCCCTCCCCTTGAGTACATTTGGGACCTGTGACTTGCATGTAAACAATAAATACAGCACAGGTGATGGATGCCACTCCTGTAACTACATTACTCTACAGAAGACTTGGTCTTGGTAGCACACTCTCTCTAGAGACTGTCCATTTTGGCTTGATGAAGTAAGCGTCCATGCCGGGGAAGTCCACGGGGCATGGGGCTGTGGGTGGCCTCTAGGACCAGCCTCTTGCCAACAGCCAGCAAGGAGCCAGGGCCCTCGGGTTCTACAAGCACAGGGAAATGAATTCTGTCGACCATCTAAGTGACCTTAGAAATGTTCTTCCCCAGTCAAGCCTCCAGATGAGAATGCAGAGCAGGGGACACCTTAATTTTGGCTTAGTGAAACGCTAAGCAGAGGACCCAGTTAAGCCATGCCTGGACTCCTGACCCAGCAAAATTGTGAGGTAGTAATTGTGTGTTATTTTAAGCCATTAAGTTTGTAGTAACTAATACAACTTGTATGTGTGGTTCAGGTATTCAACATATTAGTACGTACAGTGTAGTTCCTTCTTTGATAAACTTTGTGTTAAATATTGCTGTCCTGATGCCTTCTGGTTTTTCTCTTTTACTCCTTCACATACATGTCCCTGCCTTGATCTTCACTGCAAAGTCTTCATGAGACAAAAACTAATGAAGTGGTGCCCTATGCATCAGCCACAGGTCGAGGGCTCTCTGGGACTTCCAACTGCATTACTACATTTCTTTTTTTTTTTGTGGTACGCGGGCCTCTCACTGTTGTGGCCTCTCCCGTTGCGGAGCACAGGCTCCAGACGTGCAGGCTCAGCGGCCATGGCTCACGGGCCCAGCCGTGAGCAACATGTTTTCCCTCCACATGCAGAGCAACTAAGCCCTGAATGGTCAGGAGCATTATTCCTACTAGCCAAGAAGTGGAAACAACCCAAATGTCTGTCAACTGATGAATGGGTAAACAAAATCTGGTAAATCCATACAGTGGAATATTGTTCAGCCATAAAAAGGAATGAAGTGCTGATACATGGAATAACATGGATGAAACTTGAAACCATTATGCTAAGAAGCCAAACACAAAAGGCCACATACTTGCCTTTCCTTTTTGGAGCAATGAAATGATCTGGAATTAGATAATGGTGATTCAGCATTGTGAATATGGTAAAAAAAAACCACTGACCTGTACGTTTTAGGAGGGTAAATGTTATGGTATGTGAACTATATCACAATAAAAAAGTAAAAATAAGTTAAAAAAAGAAAAAGTACATTACACAGTTTTAGGTCAAAGCACTTCTTAGAGTTGTCTAGACTCTACCTCCTTACTCTTCCTGCAATCTTCTCATGGAAAATCTTTGCGCTTCTCTTTTCTGTGCACGTGGCAGAATCAAAGCGGTCAGAACTGCTTCCAGAACTGAAAATGCCAGTGTTTTCCGGTGGATAGGATCCCAGCAGGCCTTAGGGCAGCAGGACCTGGGCTGGTGATTTGGCAGGGGAATTAGGAAACCTCTTGAGGTGCAGTCCAGCAGAGTACCTGTCTTGGCTAGATCTCCATCAGCACCCAGGAAAAACCTGTCATCTCTGTTGCTGTCTGCAATAAGTGCTATGTGGTGTGTCTAGGTTGTTCTTTAGTTTGTTTTTGGCTTTTTTCCTCTGCTTTCCCAAAGCTTTGTGGGTTGTCTCCATTTGAACATGCTCTTAGAGTCAGTCCCTTGAGAGATTGGAGAGCTCCCAGGTTTTAGGTGAAGGTCACATCTTGGGGAAGAAGTTTGCACCTTTATCCACCCAGAAGACCTTAGTCTTTGTTTAACAGCAGGAATAGCTGCTTGGAGTAGATTGGGGGATCTCTGAGGCATTCAAAATCCTTATGAGTTTAGCGAACACTGATATTAGGAGAGCCTCTGGTTAGTTTAGAATTTCACTGCTTCTGAACATCCACCTTGAGATATTTCCCGAAAGATGGACCATGAACTTCTGTGTGAGGCCCAGACAGTTTTCAAAGTTTCAGTCCTCATCCCAGGATATATCCTTATATTACGTAGGGCAGAAGGCAGAAGATTTAAGTTAGGATAGAGTACTGAATGTTTTGGAAACAATAATACCTTAATTTTTACATCATCAAAAGTATAGCATCATTGTTCTTAAATAAATTTTGTTCTGAACAAGACCTAAATTCAAGAAATTCAGTATGTAGCTAAACAACAGTTATTTTTCAAATGGTAAATAAAGCTGATTGATATAAAAATTACAGTTAGATCTAGGCAATATCGTTATGGAGCTGATTAAAGAAAGGTAAACACTGATGTATAAACAAATGAGCAATAACTGACTATGAAATATTCCCATTCCACCTGATCAAATAAAAAAGTATTTGTAGTCAATTATATCTCAATAAAAAATTAATTGTAAAGTAAATAAAAATGGGGAAGATTACAAATGAAGAATAACCAATAATAAAGAAATTTATTTAAATATTCACTCATCAAAGATGCAATTCAAATATGCAAGTGTACAATTAAACTCTTTTTATAATATCAAGACCATTCAAAGAGAATATTCTTCTGTGCATCCTATAAAGAGGGTGTTGCCACATGAGTAGTTGTAACTGGAACACAAATCTTAATGTCTGGTCCATGTAAGCAGTTGTTCTCTCTTAGGAAATGGGATGGAGAGCTAACTGTTATCTAACAGCTACTTCTCTACTTTGTGTAAAAGAGGTTCTTAGAAAAAATATGAAGGTCAGCATTTGAGATCCAAGTCAGCATTTGTGAAGAGGCCTCACTCTGCTCCGTCAGAAAAACTCAGCCACAGCCAAGCTTTGAGGCCAAGAACCAAATGAGTGGGGTGACCCTGCCATTTATGGGACCTGGGAGGGGCTGAGGTTTTCTTGGCTTGGTTCATGGTAGGGGGCAGAGACCAGAGTTACCCTTTTCTCTCTGTGCTCCTCAAATCACTTCACTGGTTGCAAATTCATTCATTCAACAGATATTTATGAAGTGCCACCATGTGCCAGGCACAGTTAGTTCCGGGCACAAATGGGTGCAAAGCCTTCATTATGGCTCTATGGTACATAGCCATATGTACCGGGAAAATATACTCAGGAAAAAAGTAGATTACCCTTTAAATGTATTCTGCCTACATCTCATATTTTTAAATATGGGATTCAAGTGACTTGATATAGTTGCTTTAATGTATGGGATTAGTGAATAGGACATGTCTCATTTTCTGCCTAATAGGTAATAGTTGGAATTGAGGCACAATGCAAAGAGAAAAATATATTATGTAAAAGTATCTCACAATAGTAAGCCCTATGTTAGGGCTTGTTTTTGCTAAGATTTTAGTTAAGAAAGCACATTTTAAAATTCAGTAGCCTTAAAGGATTTTTATTTATTTATTTTCTTAATATTTATGTATGTAAGTATGTATTTATTATTGAGATAACATTGGTTTATAACATTATTTAAGTTTCACGTGTACGACATTATATTTCTACTTCTGCATACTCTACAGCTTGCTCATCACCATAGCTGACCCCCTTTACCCATTTCACCCTCCCCCTACCTCTTCCCCTCTGGTAACCATTACTCTGTTCCTTAGAGGATTTTTAAATCACAAATTATCTCTGGGTTCCAGAAGGGAGAATTAGTGTTCAGAGTTAGGAGAAAAATGGAAAGTTGCTGAAAAGTAGAAACACAAACCAACTAAAGTGAAGAGAAAACAAGAGGATAGAAGTGTGGATTCCTCTGTAAGGACTTTGCATTTTGTATTGACTATTTTTTAATATTATACTACATTCTAAACACAATTCTATTAAGAAATTGTAGGTGAGAACTT